AGTGCACAGATAAAATCGGATCACTCTGTTAGGCCAAACAAAAGTCTGGTCGAACACCAACGGATATACCTCTAGCATAGTCATATGTAATAAGGATTCATTCCTACATTGTAGGTTTATTTGCAATTTACTAGGTAATGCAATGTCAATCCAGAGAAGTGATAGAAAATGGTTAATGTTGTCGGAAGTATCGAAAACTAACAGTTTGTTAGCAAACTTATAATACTAGGGTTAAATTTTGTTATGTCCTTCATTTTCGTGATTAGACCCTTTTTTCATAAAGTTGATGCGGTGCTGATCTCCATGTCCAGGCTATCAGCTTAGTAGTGCTTTATTTTAATTGTAGGTATGCGACAAACGTAGTGTGTACTCTCCTGATTCTTTCCCACAGAGTACTACTCATCAACCTCGGAAAGAAGGGCGAGTGACGCCATAATATTTTATTATACATGCATTCAAATCGAGATATTCGTTGGTTTTCGAACAGTTTTTCATTCAATCCCACATAGTGGTGTAGTTTTCGGCGATGCTGTGCAGATGTTGAAATATTAGTCGTGCTTAGAGGCTGTAACATTGAGGATATGATGCCAATCTTTCGCCTTATGGTGGCAGACAAATTAAAAATTACCTTTAGCCCTTTGAAACACCCTTTAGCGAAATTAATGGCGTTGCTATAGGCTTTCCAGCGAGTGCTGTTGTTGTGGCTTATCTATTTGGATTACCTGCTGGCGAAGGTCGTTATGAAGCGTCCAGCAGAATTTCGACCATTATTCTACGCTAGATTTGTTAATGTCATCATTTTCTTTCAAAGAATTAATAACGGGCTAAAGCAGCTGAAAAGATTCGCAATCTATATGAATAGATAGGGCATTAATGGTCGAATACGGTTTAACTACCGATGTCGAGGTGAACTGGAATATGCAATCCTCGATGTGCTTATGAAGAGCACACCACTGGTTTGAAATGAATTTGAATTTGTCGTTCATTGGAAACTTAGGCACTCGAACCGATATATCCGCGGACTAATGCCCCACCAGTTCTTTTCAGAAGCATCGTGTGTAGCCCTGTTTATCCGCTCAAGAAGTATGTAACGTCGTTGTCGCCCTAAACACTGGAATTCGACACCTTTACTAATTATTCTTAAAGAATGGGTACTCGCGGAGGACACTGAGTAATGAACTTGTAGCCGTGTTAAAACACGCTTATGGTAATGTTGCCATGCATATACCAGATATGCGAGCCAGTTATGGGATGCCTCAGCAACATGGGTTTTGGGTCTACTACAGTGCTCTCGTTGTTTCCATGCTTTGTCGATCGTGTAAATATTTTGCAGCAACCACCTCGGCAGGCCTGCCTATTTCGCGGTCATTCAGGCAGCCACCTTCGCTCATCGTCTGCAGATCTCTCGTGCAACAGACGCAGAATGGTTGGTCAAAGGCACGAAAGCATATTTCTTGTGCAATAGAACTGTGTGGCCGTGCATCATTAAATTCTGATCTTGCATTATAGGAGGCAAATATCGATCGATTTTTCATGGATTACAGATTTTGACGCTGCACTGTTGACTGCGTCACGTGTTCTCGAATTTCATTTGTTCACTGGCCTCCGCATTTTAAGGAATTAAACGCCGGCTTCGTTGGATCATTCCGTGTGCGCCATTCGATTTGATTGCGTTGTTGCTTAGACAAATGACGCCCGACAGCCTTGCTCCTCTCCGTCAGTACTCGTACGTTCTTCGTAATCCTGGGCCATCGCAGTTATCAACTAGCAACGGCTCTATGGTAATGACTGAGAGCTTGATTTTCCTCCCATTCTCAAAGGCGTGTGAACGAAAAGCGGAACGTTGAATGAGTTATTCATAATTTCTAGAGGATTATGTTTGCAGATTTACTGACTGCGGACAACGCGTTAGAAAGCTGACTGATATCTGACGATAAATGCGCAGGATGGTTTTCGTAATGCCAACATGCTCATTAGCATGAAGCTTTTATATTTCTTGTGTCGTTGATTTTGCGACCCGGCAACAATAAATCAGTTGTTCTTGACAAAATGGCCGGTTATGGTAGCTCCAGTAAAGCCCAGATTAGAGTGCCTTACTTAGATTACAGTACGCTTTAATATAGAAGTATTAAAAGCCAACATGACTTCCGTATATTGTTGGGCATGTACATGTTTCATTGCGATTAACGGCTAAGTGTGAATGAGTATTCGAATGAACGGTTACTTTTTAAATAATATCACCTATGAAGAATAATTTTCAGTCAATGAAACAGAAATGAATGAAATGAAACTTGGAAAACAGAACTTGAGGCTACATAGTACATTGGCGTAAGTTCGGTATTTACGCATGTAATCTTTGACGAAACTGGGTCAGTCAGGATCCATGCGTTTTGCCGGCTGTTAGTTTCTCTAGAACGTACCGACGTTATCCCTTTATCAAGCAACGTCTTGTTGAGTCTCTTGTACGTCGAGTATGGTACTCACTTCATCCGACTTACCAATGCTCACAGTAATTCAATGGCTTATTAATTTGTGCGACGTAATTATTATCAAAGTCAAGTAAATTTTCGGACACAGTAAACACGAAAAACGCGGTATTTCATAATCATCAGCTTCTTCAGTTCACTGCTGGACAAAAGCACCTCTAAGGTTAATCCGTTGTGATTTTATGTTGGAGGACTTGGCCATAATTGACTGCGCAGGAGCCAGGTCCGCTGATGAGTATAAAAATAAGGCAACGCTTGATCATGACTCTAACACCTTTAAACTCGCGCTTCCTTTTCTTTAGCAATTGTAAAAATGACAATAATGAATTCACGAATTGAAGTCCGCTATGCCTACTAATGATATTTTCTATGGACTGCGTGGGCAAAGCTTCCAGCAAAACGTATTGTGTAAAATTCGCAGTGTATTTCACTGTTTCGAAGTGTGAAGCAGTGGTAATCTGGTGGTGAGCAACTTCGACGTTTACATTCACCTAATTTAGTGCTTCTACTCGGTGCTGGTCAGTAACAGCGAAATTTTTATCAGGAAGGTATTGAGGAACTGTACAGTATGTAATGCCTGTTCCGGGAACGCTTTGTTTACTTGTCATCACGATGCAAACCACAGGGCACAGCTTTCCGGATTAAGTGTTAGACTGTCGTCGCTCATTTAGTCACGCAACTCCTGCATGTAAAAGAACGAATGTAATAATCCATAACTAGATTGTACTGAAGCCATTAAAGCAGTATCTTCACCGTACTTCACGCGAATGGCGGATGCATCGAAAAGGAAACATCGGAATGCGTGTATGGTGACCAGTGGCAATGAAAAACAGCATCCGTTTGCGACCTCTCACGTCATCCGGCGAACCTGAAAGAACTGTCAGAATCTCGATTAGTGTGTGGCCAGCAGGTTGGCAATGTGAAACTCCAAGAAGCTACTGGTCAATAGTCTGAATAGCGGAACTCTAGACAATGTGCTGAAAGCTGTGTTGCTGTCCAGGAAGGCACCGTTTCTGATTCTTGCCCTTCGTCGAAGTTGTTTACCGTAGCGACAACTACCGTCAACGCATCCAGAGTGCTTCGTCCCCACGTGGACCTGCTCCAACACCTTTGAACCAATCGACGGCGAGACGATTCTTTCTGGGGCCAGTCTGCAACTGTAGAGGGCCTAAGAAATTTTCCGATAGTAGTTATTCGCATCATTTGCCATGTTTCCGTCACCACAGTTTGTGATAGACAGCGGTTTTAAAATTCGGTAGAGATTTTGGAGAGTGAATTGGTCCCGAGTATTAAGGCCATGGGCTTTAATCTTCCCGGTCCCGCAATCATGGAAGCTTCGATTTTCTTAAACTGCCTCAGCCGAAACTGTGTATTACGACATGCTGGTTTCGCGGTTCACAAGGCTGTTTACTGAGATCATCAAATCGTCATCATCAGCAAAATGTCTGTGCTCTGTGACATCCGCTGTATTCATAGCTATTCAGCGTTTTTGCTACGAGGCACCGGTTAGTGCGAAGTTGACGGAAATATTCTTCCTCGAAAGCAGATTTATTTCTATCTTGTCCCTCCACGTTGTATGCTAGCCTCCTTCGACGTTCGTCACGTTTCGACGGGCGAAAATGCACCATATTCTAACCGGGCCAATTTGTGTAATTTACTCATCTACAGCGAACACCTGTACATGGAAAAAAATAGAGTCATTTATTACAGTCACTCACACTTCTATCGACCGATTTCTTAATTTACAATAGATTTCCCTGTTGTCTTATGAGACTGAACCAAAGGATTAGAACGCTGAGCTTTTAGGTATCAGATTGCTCACAATCTTTACCGGTTCCTTGGCACTGTGCCCGTTTTTCTTGCTGAAACAGCTCACCATGTAATGCTTCATCTTTTCACTGAACTGAAGCCTTTCTTTTTAACAACTGTTTTCCATACGTCGGTTTCGGCTTCTAGTGCTTTTCTGCTTTCGCTACTCGGCACTGTATCGTTTGCGTAGAGCATACGGTTTGGGATTGCTGCCTCTAGGTCTTTAGTTATTGCATCGATAACGGTAATTGGTTCGTCGCTGAACCTCACTTGACTCCACCGGCATAATTTTTCTCTTTCAATGAATGTAGTTCGAACTACCATTTGCACCCTGTCGTAAATTTTTTGAGTAAGCTTGATGTACTTTTCTGGCACTAGCCTCTTTATCATCGTCCAACGCATTGTGTAGGGTTTTTCTCAGGTCTAGGAACACAATGTGAATGTCCTTGCTGGCCTTTCAGTGTTTCAAGAGCCTAATCCGTTGAACAAAATTGTACACATTAACTATAATTAAAATCTATACAGCAGTTCTTTTTGCAGAAGATAACGATATATTTTGGAATGTCTTGAACGAGTAAACCGCGTGAAATTTTTAATTTCAATCAGTCTATGTGAGATTCTGACGATTGGGGCCAAACTCGAGCCCGCTTCAGAGATATAATAAGAATGACCCCATACGAAACTCATTTTAACTCCATAGACGAGTTTGGCCTGAAAACATCAGTATCCGAAATAGAATGATTTAAAGTAGAGGTTTTATTCTTTTTTCTCGTTTATGACGTTCTGGAATACATTCACTCTATTATAAACTACTGGCTAAAAATAAATCCTGTTATTATTGGTTGGCTGGCACACGACTAGCAATATAAATTGTTAAATACAATACTTTCATATGTTGAAGAAGCAGCATTAAATACGGCTTGCTTATACACAACGCAAACGATACCGTAGTCAGTCTGGTGATTGACCAATACCGACGTTTCGGCCTGTGTCTCATGGTCTTTCTTCAAA